TTCGCCTGAAATCCGTCCAGGCGAGAAGGGGCTCGTTTTGCCTGGATGGTGGTTGCATGCTGCCATGCGCGGCTCATTTTGCCCGGATGGATTTCTCGCCTGACCCGCCACGCCAGGATGCACAGCGCTTTTCTGCAAAATGGCCGGAAAAACTGCTGGTGGCTTAATACCTTTGCACAACCAAGGAGACAAAGGACATATGCTTGTTCATATCAAGTCCTGGGAAGGACTCAGAGCATATTCACACTAAGACTTTTTCTACTAGGCTCTGAACGTGATTGCTGTCAGATTCACCCAGGTTCTGGCCGTCATTTCTGTCAAATACATGCTGAAGGCAGCTTGAATATGCCCTGAGTTGCTCCGAGTGACAGTTTCGTTTTCAACTGGGAGCCCAACACAAATCCACTATCAATGGGAAAAAGAGGCTCGGAGGTAGTGGTGGATCCTGGTGGTTAAAAAGAACAGACTAGTCCCAGTCCAGCAATACAAATGACCACAGCCCCAGGAAACAAAGAACAATTGCTGATCTACAAGATGTATCAACGGGACGCTGGACCCGGTTTCCAGCAGGTGCAGCTCCCCACTATAAGTTGGAGCCGCCCGATCACTGTACATAGCAACTGTAAAGAGATCCAATAGGATAGACAGGAACAAACAGTAACAATCTTACAAGTACAGAATGACAGACAAACAAATAAACAAACAAATAAACAGACAAACAGCTCAGCACAAACTACATTACAACCTATAGCTAGTACAGAGTACATAGCAACGGCATAGAGCTCGAATTCTCCCACAATCTGATTGTTTTCATAGTCAACATGGTTCACATTGTAAATTATATTAGAATCGAAAGATTAGTATAGGCTACAGGCCCACTAACCTGTCACCACCTTATTGCTATGGTAGCTGACATGGATTAAATCCAACTGTATAATTGCAATTTAAATGTACTTGATAGGGACGCTGGACCCGATTTCCAGCAGGTGATGCTCCCCACCAATAGATGGAGCCATCCCGGCACCGCTAGCGGTGTCTGATCATATCAGCACCCCTAGCAGTCGCTCGGGCTGTTTCTTGCACACACAAAAAAAAAAAAAAGGACATACAGTAGGCTTGGTTAGATTAGGATAGAGTCCCCCCCCCCCCCCYCTTCTGAAAAAAAAGAAAGGATTAGGATATAGGTTAGGCTAAACGTTAGGGGCTTAGCAGGATTCGTTCAGGGTTGCAAAAATACTGCTTAGAAAAAACTGTGTTTGAGGATGTTGTGGGGTGCGCTGTTCCCACGCAGGGCTGGTCCTTGTAACTGAAGCGGGGGGCCAAGTCCCCCTTACGCTGATTCTTAATTTCTGGCCATTGATCTTCCGAATCTACGGTCGGAAGTAGAGAATTCGGGTAAGTGGGACTTGGCCCCGGGTGATGCTCTCAGTATCGTACCGAGTAGACTGTGTGGACTGCGCCTGCTTCCCTCTACGATTGCAAATGAAATTGCTCTCGGAAAAAACACACAAGGTCATCGACCTTTGACCAAACAAACAGATAAAAAAATGAAAAAGTAATAGAGAAAGAAAACAAACAGAAGTTGAGAGAAAATATAGACTTGTGATAACCCCAATAATAATAATAATAAAAAAAAAAAAAAAAAAAACCGAATATCCCGCCAGCAGGCGGACGACCACAGATCATGCATGCACCGCGCGCGTGTACTTTTGAAATCACCTCTGCTCAATCGCAACGAGATTGCCTCGAATAAAAGGCACCCTCATCTCATTATTGCGGCATTTAGCTCTATTCTCACGCCGGATGCAGAAGCTATAATAACCGTGCGTTTTATCCCGGAAACACGTGTCCGTGACCTTTTTTTTTTTGGTCTGTGACCTTTTCACGGCCATCCGAAGGTAGTCCACCATACCTTTCCTTCCCCCCCCGCCTCCAAACAAAAGGGTGGTGGAGGTAATTTACTAAGGGCATACTCACACACCAGGACTTTAAATTTTACTTGTTTATGGACGTGATTGCGGTCAGATGCATCCAAGTCTGGCCAAAATAGCGGTCAGATGCATCCAGGTCTGGCCAAAATCGCAGTCAGATACATTTTGGAAAGTGCCCCGTCTGCGTAGTATGCCCTAATTCGCCCGTCTGCGTAGTGTGCCGGAAGTATCTTCGTCAACATGAGACGACGTCCTCTCGATCTCCCTACGGCCGTCTTTACCCGAATAGAAAGACCGGCATTATAGCTGTACTTCGTGCATTTGTCAGTCCAGATGCGGCGAGAATGACCAGGCGTTCTATTCGGGTGAAAGCAGCCTCGCACCAGCAGCAGCGGCACCCAAAACCGGCCATTGCGGTCGCTGCGGATAAAACTGTCGATCTGAGTTATTGGTGAACGTTAGTCCGTGTGTTCTTGTGAGTAGGGGGGGGAGTAGGGGGGAGCAGGGTGCGGGTCTCCATTTGGCAATAGGGGGGGGAAGCCCGGGAAGGTGCCGTTTGCCTGGATTCTCCCCGCTGGGACGTAGATCAGAAGGATCAACGGCAAGAAACGAATTATACGGGTCTTTTGGAACCTTGATCCGGGGGTGCTCTTGCATTGGGGAAGATGCTCGCCTTCCTAATGGAGAGTGCCCGGGGGTTGGGGGGGTTGGGGAGGAGGGGTTGTAGCCTCCCGCAAAAGGAAGGGGTCTTCTGTTATGTTTTTCTCTTTTCTTTCTCTTCCCCGCGTCTAAAGCGCGGGGTCTTTCATCCGCTAATTACAGATTTTTCTAGACATTCCCCTCTCTTCCAAACGTACGTTATATATCCTTTTTTTTTTTTTTTTTTTTTTTTTTGGGGACGTTATATATCCATATATACATACATATATATTATGCAGTTCGCACCTCGAGTCAGTGTTCGTATTTAGAAAGCATGAACCTGGACAGGTTCGTGGTTTAATAGTGCAAAGATACCACCGGTGGGGCCTGGCCTTTGATCCAAGATTCTTTCTTTCTTTCGTCTCTCTTCCAGAGTTTGAAAAAAAAAAAAAAAAAAAACCAATTTTGCGAACTGATGGAGAGACTGACGGACTGCTCTCACGATACCACGACTCGCGGGCGCTATTTTTTTTTTCTTTTTTCTTTTTTTAAAAGGGGCGACGGACGACCTTGAGATATCATCATTGAAGCTGACCGGCCCCAGCTAATTCAGAAGTAGGTTATTCTGTCTGCGCATTGAGTCTGTCTGTATTTATTTCAACAGTTCGTCGGTGTGTACCAACAACTGCTGAGCTACGTAGGCTCCTTGGTTGCGCTATCTGTTCTGTGAGGCTTTGAAATTTGAGCGGGAACCCTACCGAGGTTAACGTCCAGGTACGTAGTTGCTGATCAGGGACGCAGGTCGACGACCGAAGAGCGGTCGTTCGCTCGTCGTCGCGCGCATATACGGTAGTATGTGCAATGCGCGCGGAAGACCGACAACGCGCGCGCTCGTGAGGCACGACTGCCAGTCATTTTGCAGGTCGGTTGCTCGCCTCTCCCACGCGGCGCGGCGCCACGCGACGCGACGCGCCGGGCGCGATGCGCTACCGGTAGTCACGGTCCCTGTGGACCACCAGTTAACGACCGTCGAGCCCGCGCACTGGTAGTTGTAGGCAATGCCTCGTAGATTTTTGGCCGGAATCGCCGCGCTCCCTCTGAGCGCGGATTTTGATTCTTCGCGCTTTCAATTTGGAATTGGAGGCTGACGTCTGTCCTCCCGCCCTCCGTCCGTCCTTTCCGAAATTCCGACCGCTCACTTTTTTTTCTTTTTGGGGAAATCCGACCGCACACAGCAACCCCGCCAAACCGACAACTCTCTCTTTTTTATTTTTTATTTTTATTTTTTATTTTTATTTTTTTATTTTTTCACTTCCATTCCACGGTTGGATCGGTTAGTAGGTCTGTTGGGACTCAGGTGTCGGTTCTCAGCTCCTGCCGGGGCGAGATCCACTACGGTAGCAAAGAGGATTGTTTGAGTGTGGAGAGGTGCAGGAAATCGAGATGGAACTGCGTTTCAGTATCTTTGCGTAAAACGCATCCAGATACAGGAGCTTAATCCTATCCTCTTTGCTACCAGTGGGACCTCGGTTGTCTCGAGGACCTCCCGGGAACCATCAGTGTTTTTTTTTTTGTGGAGAGCCATCAAATAACGAACCCGTAAATTCGGTTTTTTCTCCTTTTTTTTTTCTTGTTTTTTTGTTGCCGGCCAACTAATGAGAGGGTGATAAGAGCACCCAAAAGAAAAAAAAAAAAAAAAAAAAAAAAAAAAAAAAAAAAAAAAAAAAAAAAAAAAAAAAAAAAAAAAAAAAAAAAAAAGCACCCTCCCTCCCCGTTGGAGGCCGCCGTTAGATGGCTCCAATCTGCTCGTTGGGAGCTGGAAATGGGGTCCAGATGATAGGCGCAGGAGGGTGGCATTGACTGTCCAGCTGGAAACAGAAGTGGACATTGCTCCCCATTCCACCTCATTCTTTAATTAACCATGCTGCCGCATTGCTGCGCACTCGTAGTCGTAGGCAATGCCCCGTAGATTTTTGCCCGGTATTGCCGCGCTGCCTCTGAGCGCAGATTTTGATTGATTCTTCGCGGCTTCACTTTGGAATAGGAGGCTGGTGTCTGTCCTCCCTCCCTCCCTCCCTCCCTCCCTCGCTCGCTCGCTCCCTCTGCGACCGCTCACATCAACCCCGCTAACTCACCAACTATTCGGATTTCGCTACTCCCGTTCCTCCCACTCTCCTCTTTCTCTCTCTGTCTCTCTTTCGGACCCCGCCAACCAGGTAGCAGCTATTCGGATTTCGTCTACTACCGCTCTCCTCCCCTCCTCCCCCCCCCCCCCCCCCCCCCCCCCCCCCCCCTCTCTCTCTCTCTCTCTCTCTCTCTGTGAGCTGGCGGTTTCTTTTGCTTCCCGCTCGTTGCTCTCCTACAAAATCATGATCTTCAACGGCCGGCGCGGCCTGTAACATAACGCTGCACCAACTGCAGTCTGTCGGTATTACCGGTGGAGCAGATAGTGCAGCACTCGTCTAGTGGGGGCAAGGTCGCCGGCTTCAGGCCGCCGGATTCAGGTCCGTCGTAGAAGCCGAAGCTTTGGCTATGGCGGCCTCGACGTCCGGTGTAGCCCGGCTGTCCCTCGCGGCTTCTGGATCGTCCCTGTTGTCGCCATCTGTGGCCTCCGTGTCATCGTCCTCCTCCTCTTGCAAGCGCACTTGCCCGCTCTGTTGCAGCACATTTCCCTCCTCTTCCTCGCCCGACGCTACCTCACACTCGGCGAAGGCCGCTTTTCTGCGCGGCCTCGACGGCTTCAATGGCCTGCGCAGGCTGGTATCTTATCCCGGTGCCCGCCAGTCTTCGGCGGGGCCAAGCGCCGCTGCCTTCGACCAGATCGCGATCGAACGGCAGATTGAGCAGTTGCCCGCATTGCAATGGGGTCGCAGAGGCGTTGTAACCTGTCAGGCTGGTATGAAGCTGGTTTTCACCTCATCAGAAGTCGCGCCATGGAGCAAGACTGGCGGGCTCGGTGACGTCTTAGGTGGCCTCCCTCCTGCCCTCGCGGTAATTACCTCTCTCTCTCTCTCTCTCTCTCTCTCTCTCTCTCTCTCTCTCTCTCTCTCTCTCT